TCGACAGAGCAGGGAGTTGGGATGACCACTGCTCATGCTTTCCCAGTATACGTTTGGAAGCCTGAGAGACATTGCCTGTACATAACTCACAGTATCCAACCTGCCCAGAGTCCGTCCTTGTTGTATCTTCTTTCCTCACATGGGAAGACATTGACACAAATGGGTGTCTGCCTGAAGGAGTTTCATTGAACACAGACCTTCATAAGTCCCCAAAATGGACGTCCAGGACTAGGGCCCTGTATGTGATTCTTCAAGTTTTCAACACAGTCAGTTCCCACCGCTTCCATGTTTTGTAGTCTCAAAACTGTCGCATGTCTGTCCTAATCCACATTTCTCTCACAACGTTTGAAGCGTTTTCGACAGAGGTAGGGAGTTGGGATGACCATTGTTCATGCTGTCCCAGTGTACATTCTGGAAGCCTAAGAGCCATAGCCTGCACGTAGCTCACCGTCTCCAACCTGCCTTGAGTCTGTTCTTGTTCTATTTTCTTTCTTCACCTGGGAAGACACTGCTTTGAATGGGTTTCCCTCTGAAGGAGTTTCACTGAACACTTTCCTTCCTATGGTCACAAGCATGGATATCTGAGACTAGGGACAGCCCTATATGGGACACTTCATATTTTCAACACAGTCATTTCCCACAGCTTCCATGTATGACAGCCTCAAACTGTCGTGAGTCTGTCTTAAGTACATGCCCTCATGACCTTTGAAGCGTTTTAGACAGTGGCAGACAGTTGGGATGACCACTGCTCATTGTTTCCCAGTATACGTTTTGGAAACCTAAGAGCTTTAGACTGCACATAGCTCACAGGATCCAACCTTCCCTGAGTCCGTCCTTGTTCTTTCTTCTTTCCTGACCTGGGAAGACACTGCCCCGAATGGGTTTCTGCCTGAAGGAGTTTCACTGAACACAGACATTCCTATGGCCACTGGTATGGACTTCCGAGGCTAGGCCCGGTACGCGACTCTTCGTGTTTTCAACAGAGTCAGTTCCCACAGCTTCGATGTTTTGACAGTCTCAAAACTGTCGAGATTCTGTCCTAAAGCACACTTCCCTCATGTCAATGTACGCGATTTTGACGAGGTAGATGGTTGGGATGACCGCAGATTATGCTCTTCCAGTCTAAGTTTTGGAAGTTTAAGAGTTGTAGCCTCCACTAAACTTATAGTGTCCAACCTGCCCTGATTCCGTCCCTGTTCTATCTTCTTTCCTCTCCTGGGAAGACACTGGCACGAATGGGTGTCCGACTCTAGGAGTTTCCCTGAACACAGACTTTCCTTTCATCACCGGTATGGACTTCCGAGACTAGGATTCTGAACTCGACTCTTCATGTTTTCAAACCTATTCAGTTCACACAGCTTCCATGTTTGAATGCCTCATAACTGTCATGAGTCCTTCCTAAGGCACACTTCACTAAGGTCGATTTAAGCGTTTTGGACAGAGGTAGAGAGTTGGGGTGACCACTGGTCATGCTGTCCCAGTACACGTTTGGGAGGCCTAAGAGCTGTAGCCTGCACATAGTTCACAGTATCCAACCTGTTCTGAGTCCGTCCTTGTTCGACCTTCTTTCCTCACCTGGGAAGACACTGCCACAAATGGGTGTCCATCTGAGGAGTTTCACTAAACACTGTCCTTCCTATGGTCACAAGCCTGTTAGTTTGAGACTAGGGAGTGTCCTGTAGGTGACCTTTCACGTTTTCAACACAGTCAGTTCTCACAGCTTCCGTGTTTTGACAGTCTCAAAACTGTCACGAGTCCATCCTAAAGCACCCTTCCCTCATTATGTTTGAAGTGTTTTCGACAGAGGTAGTGTGTTGGGATGGCCACTGGTCATGCTCTCCCAGTAGAGGTTTTGGAAGCCTCAAAGCCTTCTCCTGCACTTAGCTCAGAGTATCCAACCTGCCCTGAGTCCATCCTTGTTCTATCTTCTTTCCTCAACTGGGAAGACACTGCCATGAAAGGGTGTCTGTCTGAAGTTGTTTCACTGACCACAGACTTTATTATGCTCACCGGCATGGACATCCGGGACTAGGGTCCTTACGTGATTCTTCATATTTTCATCACAGTCTGTTCCCACAGTTTCCATGTTTTGACAGTATCAAAGTTGTTACATGCCCTAAAGCACACTTCCCTCACGACGTTTGAAGCATTTTTGACAGAGGTAGGGAGTTGGGATGACCACTGTCATGCTCTCCCCGTATATGTTTTGGAAGCCTAAGAGTCATAGCCTTCACGTAGCTCACAGTCTCCAAACTGCCCTGATTCCGTCCTTCTTCTATCATTTTTCCTCACCTGGGAAGAACTGCCAGGAACTGGTGTGGGTCTGAAGGAGTTTCACTGAACACTTTCCTTCTTCTGGTCACAAGCATAGATATCTGAGACGAGGGATGGCCCTGTACGAGTCACTTCATATTTTCAACACAGTCAGTTCCCACAGCTTCCATATTTTGACAGTCTCAAAACTGTCACGAATCTACTCTAAAGCACCCTTATCTCAAGTCATTTAAAGCATTTAGCACAGAGCTAGAGAGTTGGGATGACCACTGGTCATGCTCTCTCAGTACAACTTTTGAAAACCCAAGAGCAGTAGCCTCCACTTAACTCACAGTATCCAAAATGCCCTGAATCCGTCTATGTTTCATCTTCTTTCCTTACCTAGGAAGAAACGGCCACGAATGGGAGTCCATCTGAAGGAGATTCACTGAACACAGACCTTCCTATGGTAACCGATATCAACTTATGAGACTAGAGCCCTGACCGTGACTCTTCATGTTTTCAACACCGTCAGTTCCCACAACTTCCATGTTTTCACAGTCTCAAAACTGTCGCCAGTTCTTCCTAAAGCACTCTTCCTTCATGTGGTTATAAGCGTTTTGTCAGAGGCGGTGAGTTGAGATTACCACTGGACATGCTTTCCCAGTCCAGGTTTCGAAGCCTAAGAGCAGTAGCCTGCACTTAGCTGACAACACCCAACCTGCCCTGAGTCTGTCCTTGTTCTATTTTCTTTCCTCTCCTGGGAAGACACTGCCACGAATGGGTGTCTGACTGAAGGGGTTTCACTGAACCCTGCCCTTCCTATTGTCACAAGCATGGGCGTCTGTGACTATGGTGGGCCCTGTACGTGACACTTCATGTTTTCAACACAGTCAGTTCCCACAGCTTCCTTATGTTGACAGTCTCAAAACTATCTTGATTCTGTCCTAAAGCATACTCCTCTCATGACGTTTGAAGCCTTTTCGTCAGAGTAGAGACTTGGGATGACCACTAGTCATGCTCTCCCACTACAAGTTTTGGAAGCCTAAGAGCCATAGCTGGCACGTAACTCAAAGTTTCTAGCCTGCCCTGAGTCTGTTCTTGTTCTATTTTCTTCTTCACCTGGGAAGACACTGCATTGAATGGGTTTCCTTCTGAAGGAGTTTCACTGAACACTTTCCTTCCTATGGACACAAGCATGGATATCTGAGACTAGGGACGCCCTATACGGGACACTTCATATTTTCAACACACTCACTTCCCACAGCTTCCATGTTGGACAGCTTCAAAATATCTTGAATCTGTCCTAAAGCACATTCCCTCCCGACCTTTGAAGCGTTTTCGACAGTGGTAGACAGTTGGGATGACCACTGCTCATTGCTTTCCAGTATATGTTTTGGAAGCCTAAGAGCTTTAGACTGCACATAGCTCAAAGTATCCAACCTCCCCTGATTCCAACCTTGTTCTTTCTTCTTCACTGTCCTGGGAAGTCACTGCCCTGAATGGGTTTCTGCCTGAAGGAGTTTCACTGAACACAGATATTCCTATGGCCAATGGTATGGACTTTCGAAGCTAGGGCCCTGTACGCGACTCTTCATGTTTTCAACAGAGTCAGTTCCCACAGCTTCGATGTTTTGAAAGTCTCAAAACTGTCGCGATTCCTTCCTAAGGCACACTTCACTCAGGTCTATTTTAGCGTTTTGGACAGAGGTAGAGAGTTCTGATGACCACTGGTCATGCTGACCCAGTACACGTTTGGGAGGCCTAAGAGGCGTAGCCTGCACATAGTTCACAGTATCCAACCTGCCCTGAGTCCATACATGTTTATCTTCTTTCCTCACCTGGGAAGACACTGCCACGAATGGGTGTCCATCTGAGGAGTTTCACTGAACACTGTCCTTCCTATGGTCACAAGCCTGTTCGCCCGAGACCAGGGAGGGTCCTCTACGTGACCCTTCCCGTTTTCAACACTGTCAGTTCCCACAGCTTCCATGTTTTGACAGTCTCAAAACTGTCGCGAGTCCGTCCTAAAGCACCGTTCCCTCACGACGTTTGAAGCGTTTTCGACAGAGGTAGTGAGCTGGGATGACGTGTCATGCTCTCCCAGTAGAGGTTTTGGAAGCCTCAAAGCCGTCTCCTGCACTTAACTCACAGTATCCAACCTGCCCTGAGTCCATCCTTGTTCTATCTTCTTTCCTCAATGGGGAAGACACTGCCACGAAAGGGTGTCTGTCTGAAGGAGTTTCACTGACCACAGACTTTATTATGCTCACCGGCATGGACATCCGAGACTAAGGTCCATACGCGATTTTTCATATTTTCATCACAGTCTATTCCCACAGTTTCCATGTTTTGACAGTCTCAAAGGTGTTGCATGTCCGTCCTAAAGTACACTTCCCTCACGACGTTTGAAGCGTTTTTGACAGAGGTAGTGAGTCTGGATGACCACAGGTCATGCTCTCCCAGTACACGTTTTGGAAGCCTAAGAGTCGTCGCCTGCACTTAGCTCACAGTATCCAAACTGCCCTGATTCCGTCCTTCTTCTATCTTGTTTCCTCACCTGGGAAGACACTGCCACGAACTGGTTTGGGTCTGAAGGAGTTTCACTAAACACTGTCCTTCCTTTGATCACAAGCATGGACATCCGAGTCTAGGGATGGCCGTGTAAGAGTCACTTCATGTTTTCAACACAGTCAGTTCCCACAGCTTCCTTACGTTGACCGTCTCAAAACTGTTGCGAATCTGCCCTCTGGTCCCGGGCATGAGCTGAGGAATTCGCGTGTGTGCTGAACTCCTCGGAACCATGGCGTCCCTTTCCCTTGCACCTGTTAACATCTTCAAGGCTGGGGCTGATGAAGAGAGGGCAGAGACTGCTTGTCTTTCTTCTTTTATTGGTGCCATCGCTGTTGGAGACTTGGTAAAGAGCACATTAGGACCTAAGGGCATGGATAAAATTCTGTTAAGCAGTGGACGAGATGCCTCTCTTATGGTAACCAATGATGGTGCAACTATTCTAAAAAACATCGGTGTAGACAATCCAGCAGCTAAAGTTTTAGTTGATATGTCAAGAGTTCAAGATGATGAAGTTGGTGAAGGCACTACCTCTGTTACTGTCTTAGCAGCAGAATTACTAAGGGAAGCAGAATCTTTGATTGCAAAAAAGATTCACCCACAGACCATCATTGCGGGTTGGAGAGAAGCCACAAAGGCAGCAAGACAAGCTCTGTTAAATTCTGCAGTTGATCATGGTTCTGATGAAGTTAAATTCTGCCAAGATTTAATGAACATTGCGGGAACAACATTATCCTCAAAACTTCTTACTCATCACAAAGACCATTTTACTCAGTTAGCTGTAGAAGCTGTTCTCAGACTGAAAGGTTCTGGTAATCTGGAGGCAATTCACATCATCAAGAAGCTAGGAGGAAGTCTGGCAGATTCCTATTTAGATGAAGGCTTTCTGTTGGATAAAAAAATTGGAGTAAATCAACCAAAGCGAATTGAAAATGCTAAAATTATCATTGCAAATACTGGTATGGATACAGACAAAATAAAGATATTTGGTTCTAGGGTAAGAGTTGATTCTACAGCAAAGGTTGCTGAAATAGAACATGCCGAAAAGGAGAAAATGAAGGAGAAAGCTGAACGAATTCTTAAACATGGGATAAATTGCTTTATTAACAGGCAGTTAATTTACTCATGAAAGAAATTGAGGAAGACACAAAGAAATGGAAAAATGTTCCATGCTCCTGGATTGGAAGAATAAATATTGTGAAAATGTCTATGCTACCTAAAGCAATCTACACATTTAATGCAATTCCTATCAAAGTACCATCCATTTTTTTCAAAGAAATGGAACAAGTAATCCTAAAATTTATATGGAACCAGAAAAGACCTCGAATAGCCAAAGCAGTATTGAAAAAGAAAGCCAAAGTTGGTGGCATCACAATTCCGGACTTCAAGCTCTATTACAAAGCTGTCATCATCAAAACAGCATGGTACTGGCACAAAAACAGACACATAGATCAATGGAACAGAATAGAGAGCCCAGAAATAGACCCTCAACTCTATGGTCAACTAATCTTCGACAAAGCAGGAAAGAATGTCCAATGGAAAAAAGACAGCCTCTTCAATAAATGGTGTTGGGAAAATTGGACAGCCACATGCAGAAAAATGAAATTGGATCATTTCCTTACACCACACACAAAAATAGACTCAAAATGGATGAAGGATCTCAATGTGAGAAAGGAATCCATCAAAATCCTTGAGGAGAGCACAGGCAGCAACATCTTCGACCTCAGCTGCAGCAACATCTTCCTAGGAACATCACCAAAGGCAAGGGAAGCAAGGGCAAAAATGAACTATTGGGATTTTATCAAGATCAAAAGCTTTTGCACAGCAAAGGAAACAGTTAACAAAACCAAAAGACAACTGACAGAATGGGAGAAGATATTTGCAAATGACATATCGGATAAAGGGCTAGTGTCCAAAATCTATAAAGAACTTAGCAAACTCAACACCCAAAGAACAAATAATCCAATCAAGAAATGGGCAGAGGACATGAACATACATTTCTGCAAAGAAGATATCCAGGTGGCCAACAGACACATGAAAAAGTTCTCCACATCACTCGGCATCAGGGAAATACAAATCAAAACCACAATGAGATATCACCTCACACCAGTCAGAATGGCTATAATTAACAAGTCAGGAAATGACAGATGCTGGTGAGGATGCGGAGAAAGGGGAACCCTCCTACACTATTGGAGGGAATGCAAGCTGGTGCAACCACTCTGGAAAACAGCATGGAGGTTCCTCAAAATGTTGAAAGTAGAACTACCCTATGACCCAGCAATTGCACTGCTGGGTATTTACCCTAAAGATACAAACGTAGTGATCCGAAGGGGCACGTGCACCCGAATGTTTATAGCAGCAATGTCCACAATAGCCAAACTATGGAAAGAACCTAGATGTCCATCAACAGACGAATGGATAAAGAAGATGTGGTATATATACACAATGGAATACTATGCAGCCATCAAAAGAAATGAAATCTTGCCATTTGCGACAATATGGATAGAACTAGAGGGTATCATGCTTAGCGAAATAAGTCAATCGGAGAAAGACAACTATCACATGATCTCCCTGATATGAGGGCGAGGAGATGCAACATGGGGGGTTAAGGGGGTAGGAGAAGAGTAAATGAAACAAGATGGGATTGGGAGGGAGACAAACCATAAGTGACTCTTAATCTCACAAAACAAACTGAGGGTTAATGGGGGGAGGGGAGTTGGGGGGGTGGGATTATGGACATTAGGGAGGGTGTGTGCTATGGTGAGTGCTGTGAAGTGTGTAAACCTGGCGATTCACAGACCTGTACCCCTGGGGATAAAAATATATTATATGTTTATAAAAAAATAAAATTAAAAAAATATATACGGTGGAGAAAAGAGAGTCTCTTCAATAAATGGTGCTGTGAAAACTGGACAGCTCTATGTAAAGAATGAAACTCGACCATTCTCTTACAACGTACACAAAAATAAACTCAAAATGGATAAAAAACCTCAATGTGAGACAGAAATCCATCAGAATCCTAGAGGAGAACATAGGCAATAATCTCTTCGATATCAGCCACAGCAACTTCTTTCAAGATATCTGCACAGGAAAGGAAACAGTCAAGAAAATAAAGAGGCAACCCACGGAATGGGAGAAGATATTTGCAAATGACAGTACAGACAAAAGATTGATATCCAGGATCTATAAAGAACTCCTCAACTCAACACACACAAAACAGATAATCATACCAAAAAATGGGCAGAAGATATGAATAGACACTTCTCCAATGAAGACATACAAATGGCTATCAGACATATAAAAAAATGTTCATCATCACTAGCCATCAGGGAGATTCAAATTAAAACCACATTGAGATATCACCTTACACTAGTTAGAATGGCCAAAATTAGCAAGAGAGGAAACAACATTGTTGGAGGGATGAGGAAAAAGGGGAACCCTCTTACACTGTTGGTGGGAATGCAAGTTGGTGCAGCCTCTTTGGAGAACAGTGTGGAGATTCCTCGAGAAATTAAAAATAGAACTTCCATATGACCCTGCTATTGCACTACTGGGTATTTACCGCAAAGATACCGATGTAGTGAAAAGAAGGGCCATCTGTACCCCAGTGTTTATAGCAACAATGACCACGGTTGCCAAACTGTGGTAAGAACCAAGATGCCCTTCAACGGACGAAAGGATAAGGAAGATGTGGTCCATATACACTATGGAGTATTATGCCTCCATCAGAAAGGATGAATACCCAACTTTTATAGCAACATGGACGGAACTGGAAGAGATTATGCTGAGTGAAATAAGTCAAGTAGAGAGAGTCAATTGTCATATGGTTTCAGTTATGTGGAACATAACAAATAGTATGGAGGACATGGGGAGTTAGGAGAAGGGAGTTGGGGGAAATTGGAAGGGGAGGTGAACAATGAGAGACTATGGACTCTGAAAAACAATCCGAAGGGTTTGAAGAGGTGGGGGGGTTGGAGGTTGGGGGAACCAGGTGGTGGATATTAGAGAGGGCACAGATTGCATGGAGCACTGGGTGTGGTACAAAAACAATGAATACTGTTATGCCTAAAATAAATAAAACAAAATGATGAATTAAAAAAAAACTTAAATAAAAAAAAAGGTTGTCTCCAAAGGCAAAGGAACAAAAGCAAAAATAAACTTTGGGACTTCATCAAGATCAAAAGCTTATGCACAGCAAAGGAAACAGTCAAGAAAACCAAGAGTCAACCCACGGAATGGGAGAAGATATTTGCAAATGACAGCACAGACAAAAGGTTGATATGCAGGATCTATAAAGAACTCCTCAAACTCAACACACACAAAACAGACAATGATATCAAAAAAATGGGCAGAATATATGAACAGGCACTTCTCCAATGAAGACCTACAAATGGCTATCAGACACATGAAAAAATGTTCGTCATCACTAATCGCCAGGGAGATTCAAATTAAAACCACGTTGAGATACCACCTTACACCAGTTCTACTGACCAAAATTAGCAAGACAGGAAACAACATATGTTGGAGAGGATGTGGAGAAAGGGGAATCCTCTTCCACTTTGGTGGGAATGCAACTTGGTGTAGCCACTTTGGAGAACAGTGTGGAGATTCCTCAAGAAATTAAAAATCGAGCTTCCCTATGACCCTGCAATTGCACTATTGGGCATTAACCCAAAGATACAGATGTAGTGAAAAGAAGGGTCATCTGTACCCCAATGTTTATAGCAGCAATGGCCACGGTTGCCAAACTGTGGAAAGAACCAAGATGCCCTTCAACGGACAAATGGATAAGGAAGATGTGGTCCACATACACTTTGGAGTATAATGCCTCCATCATAAAGATGAATACCCAACTTTTGTAGCGTCATGGATGGGACTGGAAGAGATTATGCTGAGTGAAATTAGTCAAGTAGAGAGAGTCAATTATCATATGGTTTCACTTATTTGTGGAGCATAACAAATAGCATGGAGGACAAGGGGAGATGGAGAGGAGAAGGGAGTTGAGGGAAATTGGAAGGGGAGGTGAACCATGAGAGACTATGGACTCTGAAAAACAATTCTGAGGGTTTTGAAGGGGTGGGGGTGTGGGAGGTTGGGAGAACCAGGTGGTGGGTATTATAGAGGGCACAGATTGCATGGAGCACTGGGTGTGGTGCAAAAACAATGATTACTCTTCTGCTGAAAGGAAATTAAAAAAATAATAATTCATCGTTCATATATATCACTTTTTATTGATGTATTCCTCCTTATGTTGGTATTTGAGTTGTTTTACTTTTTGGGCTACTGTGAATTATTTGTCTATAAACTGTACTGTACAGCTATCTGCTCGAGTTTCTGCTTTCAATTATTTTTCATACATATTTAGGAGCATATGTATTAAATCAGATGATCATTCGATGTTTAACTTTCAAAGAATTGTCATACTGTTTCACATTCTCATTGAGAATGCAGTAAGATTCCAATTTCTCCACATTCTTGCCAGCATTTTTTATTATTATTTATTACTTAATAATATCTTTCCTAATGGATGAAAAGCATATTTCATTGTGTTTTTTTTTCCATTTCCCTAATGATTAATGATGTTGACTGCCTTTTTATGTGCTTATCAGGCATTTGTATACATTCCTTGGAAAAATGTGTATTTAGATCTTTTACCCATGTTTTAATATATTTGTTGAGTTTTAGGAATTATTTATGTGTTCTAGATACTTGTACTTTATATTATATATTTTCTTCAATTACACAAGCTGTCTTTTCACTTTATTAAAAGATGTTTATCAGAGGGGAGGTGGTTAAGGGGATAGGTTAAATAGGTGATGGGGATTAAGCAGGGAACATGGCTGAGCACTGGGTATTGTACAGAAGAGTTGAATCACTGTATTACACCTGAAATAATATTACACTATGTTAACTATTGGAATATAAACGTAACAAAAAAAATGTGTTCTTGGATGTAAAATAGATGGTTCTTTTTTTCCCCTTGTTAATTTTGGTGAGATCCAAATTTGCCATTTTTTTTTTCTCTTGTTGCCTGTTCTTTGGGGCATCACATCCAAAAAAATCATTGCTGAACAATATAATTACAATTTTCTTTTTTTTCCAAAATTTTATAGTTTCATAGCTTATATT